TCAGGTGGCCTGCTCTGGGGAGCTATGCTAGGGTGGGTGCCCTCAGCTGGAGCCAGGACCATACCAAACATCTCATTGTACTGGGTTTCATTCACCTCCATGCGGTTCATCCAGTCTGCTGGGACTGGGACTGGATGGAGCCTACTCAAGCTTCCTGCACTGCCACTGCCTGGGGGCACAATGTGGTGGTGGGATAGCAACTGGCTCACTGAGGGAAGCACAGTGCTGGCCCCATGAGCCAAAGGTTGCATTTCATGAAGGTTAGAAAAAGACAGTGCATGCTGGGCATGGACTGAGGCAGGAGGGGCGGCAGTGGCCAACATAGGGTTGGGTGAGGCCTGTAAGATCCCAGGGGATGTAATCATTGGAGAGGATGTGGTATCAGAAACGTATGTGTGAGGAGATTCTAGGGAATCAACAGGAGATAAAGTTACTGAACTCTCAGACAGTTGGACCTTCTCACTCAGAGACTTCTTCCTCCTACTACCCTTGGCATCCTTCGCCTCCTTGGCAAGGTTAGGGAGGCTAGTGGGCATGGTACTCTTGGCACTGGGCCGTCTAGACTTCTTGCCCATTGGTGTGTGCTTCAGGCTGAGGAAAGATCTGTTGGGCCCACAGATGACAGGTGAGAGAGCAGAAGTCAACACGGTGCCTGGAGGGCTGGGGGTCACATTGTATTCATCCAGGAGGCGCACAATGTCATGGTGCATGCGATCCCGAGCCACATCCCGGGGAAGACGATCCATATGGTCTGTGATGTCTCGATTGGCAAAATGGTCTAACAGGATCTTGGCTGCTTCATAGCTCCCCTCCCGGGCAGCAAGAAACAGCGGTGTCTCTTCCTACAGAAAAGGCCCATCACAGAACACGTTAACACTCTTGAGAATATAGCAGTTTTTCTCAGTCTTTCTTATTATCACCCCCTTAGACATGTTTTCCTAATTATCTCCCCGATGAAATATTAACATCACAGATAGGCTGTGCCTCTACCAGTGTACTGAATGTATATCTGTGATTTATACATAAAAAGAGTAAGATTATTTCACCTCTCCTTAAAAAACAATTTTGCACTTTAGGGGGAACATCTCTTTAGTTGGGAATTCATGAAATAAAGCATGCCCCTGAGCCAGAGACTCACTTAAAAGAGTACTGAGCTTATCAAAATAAGGTTCTAATAGGAAAAGGAGTTAGAAATAAGAAAGGTAGGAAGAGAAAAAACTAAGGCATGCACAGAACTGGGAAAAATAAGGGAAACAGTGAAAGAAAGAAGAGACAAAACATGTGCAAGAAAGGACTAAGATGAGGAAAATGAAGAAAACTGAGAGAAGATGAATGACAGAAGGAAGCAGGACAAAAAACTCAGACGGAGAAAAATCAAACAGGAAAACATCAGGGTATCCAAGGATAGAAAAAGCAGCAGCAGGAGGGAAAAAAGAAAGAAAACAAGAGAAAAAGAAGTGACTATGAACAGAAGAGACAGCTGGAGAAAAGGAATGTCAGGGAGAGAAAAGGTTACACCAAGCTATCTATAGCCAGCCTACTGCAAGCTGAATACTGAGAGGGAAAAGAACTCCATCCTGACACATGCCTGGACAAGCCCTATATTCTCATCAAGCTCTCCAAACCCAGTGTCTGCCCAAACTGCTTCCATCTTTGTCTATACATATCACAAGAGAAGCTGTAAGGAGAAATGGGAAGGGGCTTATAACTGAGGCACTGCTATAAGCCTCCTCAAGCTCAGAGCCACAAATTGTACCTTGTTGTCCTGCATGTCTCGGTTAGCCCCATTTTTCAACAGCAAAAGAGTCGCCTCCACATTATTGACAGCAGCTGCCCAGTGAAGGGCAGATTTTCCTGAAGGGGAGAAATATTTTTATAAACAGACATATCATACTCTTAGTAAAAAACACCATGACTTATACAACGAAACTTTAAATTCCCCAGAGATCAGCAGGAAGCAGTTCTCTGTAGGGGTCTATAGGAAAAACCTAATCTCTTCCTTTTCCTCTGTTCTAGAAATACTTCAGTACAGGCTGCCTAGCCTGCAGAAGACCTCTAGGTGAAAGGATCACTTGTATGAGGTATTCATGTCCCCTACATGGCAGAATCTACCCTGTTACATACTGAAGACAAAAACCTATGTATTATATGTCAGAATTTATATTGAGAATATTCCACAACTCTTCTAGAGAAGTCAGCTCTCATAAATCCTCAAATCAAGAGTGGTATGCCTAGGAAACTACATGGGAACACCTTTCATGTATCTGCTCTGAGGTCCAAGAACCCTCATTAAAAATCCCTCATTTTAATTAGGGATCTCCTACTGGCTTGGATCTCTGAGTTCAGCATGTTAAAGGAAGAATGAATAAATACATGAATGAAAGAATGAGTGAATCTCCCATGTATTTGAATCTCAGACAGTTCTTTAAGGGTCATGTAACCATTCCCCCTCCTCAGAGGCATGCTTTGCAGGTAAGAATCCAAATCCCTGCCTTTCATCCCTACCATGGTCATCCACTGCATTCACATCTGCTTGGCAGTTGATCAGTTCTGCCACCATTCCCTCCACAGCCAGGCGGGCAGCCAGGATCAGGGGTGTAGTACCATCATTCATCCTGGCATCTAGATCAGTTACTCGGTTACGAATCAGAATCTAGAAGAGGAGAAAATACAGAAAAGAGAGTCACCTGGATGAAGGAAAATAATGAAACTCAGTGAAGAAACAAGTGCATCAGAGCTGAGGCTACACTGTAAGTTCCCGGAGGCGAGGGAAAGTCTTGTTATCTTTGTGCCCAAGATTCTATCGTCATCAATCAATAAATAGTTGTTGATTGAATAAATAAACAAATACGTGCTCAATAAATAATGGCCGATGTAAAGTGAAGAGCCTTCTACTTCCTCAGGGAAGAAGAGGGATGTGGGGAAATATCACAACTTCAGTCAGTCTACAGTCTAAGGTGATTCAGAATGCTTCCGATTTCCTCATAAGGATAAACAGGCATCAGAGAATATAACAGGAACTCAGGTCAAGAAAACTGCCAATGAGCAGCTGGAAGCCCATACAGTCAGGCCAATCCGTAAGCAGTAGCGGATACAAGTCAAAGGCTCCAGACCAGGTATCACTCTCATCTAATCTATGCATTTGGGAAGCATCTTGGCACAACAAATTATCACTAATAATCAGAAAGACTGCTGTTGTCTGCAGTTGGCTCTATCACTATCTTCCTATATAGAGCTGGGTCAGTTTGCCTGTCTCCCTTCCCACTTTCCCATCTAGCAGGCATGACTCTAATACCTGCCCTAATGTCTCAAATGATTGAATAAATTCAATGAGATATTAGTTCCTTAAAAAAGATAAAACTGTACAGAGCCATAGGAATTATTATTCAAGTGACTCTTCTCATGTTCTTTACCTGGAAGACACCTTGGGCATCAGCTGCCACTGCAGCATGGAGGGGGCAGCGGCCCATGTTGTCCTGGGCATTGGCATCTGCACCTGCATCCAGGAGACGCTTGGCAGCATCAGCCCGTGAGTAGCGGGCTGCAAGGTGCAGGGCCATCTCACCAGTCCGGTCCGTCTGGGCCTGGAGGCTGGCACCTTGGTAGACCAAGTCTGTGATGATGTTAGCGGAAGAGTCCTCTGCATCTTCATCTTCATCACTCAAATCTGAGCTGCCTCCTCGGAGAGAAGCCAACATTAATGGGGTGCAGCCATCTGTAGGAATGGAAAATTCCATAAAGTACTCAAGAAGGAGAAGGCAGTTAACCCTATCTTCAGCTTGAAACAGCTCTATTTTAGTTACTCTTAGGGGCAAAGAATTCCCTGCACTTCTTGTAGTAACTGGTTATTAGTTTCACATTTGCTACCTTTTCCTCTGATAACATCGTTTCTGTAAAGAATAATGGGAAAGTACAAGTCTTTTTAAGCTGGGGGTTCTTCTCTAAGTAAAACAAGTTTTTCTTTTCAAGTTTAAGTGATATGTTATTTTAATTGGACATTTAAAAATATGTAATATTAATAGAGCAATTGATATATGCATAAGGTATTAACTAACTATCCTCTGCTTTGGGATATTATTTTTCTATCCTACTACAATCTAACCCATTTTATCAGCCTGTTTAGTCTCAACACACTGTACGTGAAGCAATGTGAAATCCTTCCCTTTCTGAGTTGATAATTTCTTCATGGCTACATTTCTTAAGCATTCATTTCCTCAAGCTGATTTACAGTCTGTGAAATTGGGAAGGGATATATGGCTGGATGGGGCAAACACAGGGACAGCAATGTGGAACCATGGGCAGACACAGCCCAGTGAAGAGGGGAAGAGGCCGGGTGCTGACCTGGGCCCCGGACATTCACATCCAACACATCCACCTCCTGCTCTGCCTGAGGAGGGGTGAGGGCCAGCGATGGTCTTCTTAACCATCATGCTCTACCAGCTCCCAGGAATGCACAGCTGTGGATGGATGGTCTCCTTTTTCATGTCAGTCTCAGCTCAATCTACCACTTGCTTTTATATGGTTTTAGTTTCTTGGGCTCAAAGTATGGAGCCTCCAATGTCAACGTTTTGCCATGATCACTGGCTTTCTTTTTGCCAATGTCAATGATCACTGGCTTTCTTCTACTGCTTAATTTCATCTTTTCTTATAGAAGGAGAAGTACCCATAAAGGATAAGGAAGAGACGTGGCCATGAAGGAATTGCCATCTACAAACACCATTCCTGACTTGACTACTGCCAGCATGACACTAAAGGAAAGAGACGTGTTTGTTTTAATATTTTTAAAGAGTTATTCTTGAAGAGTATACATAGGCAACCCAAGGTCATCAACGTCCTAAGGATTCCTCCTGCTGTTTAAAAGAACCTAGGATAGTTATTGTCTGGGTAACATATAAAGACTATCACTCTTTACTCCCATTCAGGAACACTCTGGAGCTAAAGGACAGAAATTTGAAATGTAATCAGATAATGTCTGACAATGGTGGTTCTACCATGATCACCTCACCTTCACTTTCTTTGGTTGGGGCCCTTCATCATCGACCCAGTGTTCACTTGTTCCAGAACCAATTAGGTTAGCTTCTGAGACTTGCACTGAGAGATTTCTAATACGATTATAATAATAAAAAATAAGAATGGCGGTTATGTCATAAACTAATAGAGCGGTTTTCAACACTTTCCATCATGACACACTCCCATGGCTCTATTACAATCTTGCAGGGTCTTGGCCCAGAGAAGATGGGCAGTATTTTTGTGACATTCCCTTGGCATTCATCCTTTCCCTTCCCACTGAGCGTGAGCTTACAACAAAAGTGCACCTCAACACAGAAGCTGGGTGGCACTGTGATAATATGCACAGAATAGATGCACCCAGGCTCTGACTGTGGTTTCAGTCACTCACAAGGCATTTAGAATCACAGGCAGTGCGAGTAAATGTCCAGAGCTTAGAATTTAAAATCATGATTCAACAAGATACGCTTTTCTAGTCATCCCTACTTATACTGTGAATAGTGGCTTGTTGGCAACGCCTCTTACTTCAGCCCCACAGCATCCTGTCCCACTGGCTCACGACGCTTGTGATTGCTTGCATCTCGGCGAAGAGTGAAACCTTCAGGCAGCCAGAGAGAGCCATGCTTACGCTTTCGTTTTGCCATGATTACCCCCAGCAGAATAATAAACAGAATGATGACAACAGCAACAGCAAGGAGATAGAGGAGCTGAGTACGTTCTGGAGTCAGGGATTCACCTGAAAGTCCACAGACACAGGGAAAGTGCTGAATAAAACATCAACCTCTCAATGTCAGCATTAGATTCATTTAGAGGGCAACTTTGACCTCAACAGTTCTGAAAAAATAAGAGGGCTACATAATGAAAATTGTTCCCCCAACTGACACTCTCCCCCTGCCACCTTTCCCCTTTACACCACTGCCACTCACTGACGACAGACACGAGAGGGTATGACAGGGTCCCCTGTATGGCGTGAGAGGCCAGGAGAGCTGCTGCTGCATCTGTGTTCTTGAAACAGTGGTCTGAGTCTTGAACACACTGGCGGTTGTCAATTTCCAGAAAGACTTTAGAGCTGTGGGATGCCAAGGGAGAAGCGGAGGAGGAGAGATGGAGGTAAAACAGAAGAGTGCAGGTCAGGCAGAATGTGTCATAAAGGGTGATGGGAGCCTCCCTTCCTCCCCTTCAGCATCAGGTCCCTACCTCTGGCATGCTGCTTTAAGACATATCTCAGAAATTAGGATATTGTCCCTTGAGATCTTAAACACTAATTCCCACATAGAGGATGTCCCACCTTCCTTAGTCTAGCTGACCAAAGCCTTCTGGCTGAGGCAATGCATGACAAAGTGAGAAGCTGTTTTCCTCCTGAAGGTTTCAGTGGTCTTCTTCCATTCTTTCCTACCTACTCAGTGGTACTTAGTGCTACTCTAAAAATACATCCCTGTGCATTTTTAGTCCTTATTTTCCTTTGTCTGTGCATTGGTATCTCAGCTAGTTGGAGGGTTGAAAGTTTGAGAATATACCAACAAAGAGTGAGGTGTGAATGACAGAGCAAGTGAAGATCATTACCTGTGTCAAAGAGACGTATATTCTAAAGAAGGGCCTTGACAATAAGGCAATGATTAATGTACAAAGGAATGTCACTAATAAAGGGATTTGAGGCAACTCTGGCAAAAGGTTATGGATTCTGGCATCTGAGAAGGCCTTCCAGGCATCCTGCCTTCTGTGTACCCCAGTCCACTTTTCAGGAGCCCAAGATCAAGGCACATCTTTACATTTAAACATAAGTACTGGGGTAATGGGTTTATCTTAAGTGGTGGGCCATTCTATTTGTCTGATCCTTGCATTTCTATAGGTTGAGTTATGACATGTGCTACATATCAAAGTGCTAGGCTTCAGAAACCAAACACTTACCCAGCCACCTCCTGCTCTTGTTCACCAGGAATGGACCTGCGTGTCATCCTCTGTTTCTTCATGGCAGCTGACTTCTCACCATAATAGGGGTACACCATGAGCTCCCCCTGGGAGTCCCGCTTAATGCGCAGGTTGGTGTGGAGCAGGGTCCCCAGTGCCCGCAAGAAGCTGCGAGCATCCTGGAGCAGCTGTTCAGGTGGCATCAATACCACAATAACCAGGGTACCCTCTGCCAGGTTCTCAGGCTGGTCAGCAGCACAGTCCAGCCCATCCCAACCACACTCCTCACTGTTGCACCCCTGGTCACAGTGGTTGTCTTTGAAGTGGTCTGCACAGTATTTGTCATACCTAGGTAAGGGGAAGCAGAGAACAGGAGAAAGGGGCTCAGATTAGACTGGAGCTCTATTTGCTTTTTCATTTGGAACTAACTGTGGATTTTCCTACCCATTTTCTGTGGCCCACACCCAGGACCCAAATGCCCCACAAAACCTTCTTTGCATCTCCTATCCCTGATGTCATAGAGTATGTATAGTCTATGCCACTCATCCTTGTTGTGTACTTCCTAAATGAAGAACATTGTACTCACTACGCTGCAGGAGCTTAGGGACTCCCAGGCAGTTTACAATCCTGTTAAGTCAGGTTTTCAAACAAAGCTGCATATCTGAAACAAAAGTCAGCCTGGTTCCTGCTTCCTCTACTTTGTATCCATTGTCCCCAGTAAGGTAACAACGGGCTTTAGGAAGTGAAAGATGCCTCTAGAAACTTGATAAATGACCCTGAACCATTGAGAGTTGCCATAGAGAACCATATTAACATGACCCATTTCTTTCCCTTTCAAGAGCGAATCCCAGCTACAGAAGGTAAAGGGGGATGGGTATGTCCTTGTAGCATACCAGACCTTACTTGTACAGGCTCTTTCAATATTTGCAAAAGGAATTAGAACCCCCAAACCTAAATGATGTACAAACTATTTCATCTACACTCTCCTCTCCTCATACCCTACCCCTTGATATTTATACTATTTGGTACAACTTTTCATGCTATCTCAATCAAAAGATTAGGAGTCAATGAAACAACTTGCTCTGGTGAGTTCTTTAACCCTTGGGCCTAAGTTCTCTCACCTATGAAAGAAAGTTAATAATACCTATGCCTCATGGGTTGTTGAGAATTAACTTGGATTAAATTAGATGGAATGGCTAATTAATAGGAAAGTTCCTAAGTAAACCACACAGCATCCTACAACTATAACAATTAAGACCAGGAGGGTTCACAGGCCTAATCTAATTCATGCTTCCTGATAAACCTGGGTGGGGAAAAACAGTCTTAGGGAAAGGAATGGGGTGAAGAGAGAGATACAGACCTTTCCATCCATCCTGCAGGCAGGTTATGTGAGAGGCTGCTTGAAGTGGGAAACACCACTTCCAAAAGTTATATCCCCCAGGAGGTCACGAAGGCAGCAGGTGAGAAGGCAGAGATAGGCAGAGAGAGAGGGTCATTATGCAATGAGCATTCCTGGCCCTTTGTCAGCAAGGGAGAGCACAGGGTAGTGTGCGATGGGACAAGGCTGGCACCATCTGAAAAGCAGAGGCAGCTTAGGCTGAAGCACTGGAGTGGTTAGGAGCGAGAACGAGAAACTGAAGTGTGTTAGTGACAGTCCCCTTCAGCTTCTGGAAAACGTGAAGCCCTTACTTGCATGTCTTGCTGTTCCCCTGGCATTCAAAGTTGTCAAACAGGCACTCGGCCGTGTTGCACAGCTCATCACACTGGTTGTTGATATAATCCCAGCAGGGAAGTGGGGAGGAGCAGTTGGCCCAGGGGTTCTCCATGGTGAGAGAACAGTCACCCCCATCCCACTGGCAGGCATGGCTGTTGCAGGCCTCATCACAGACGCCATCACGAGCTTTGTCGGCACAATATTGGCTCAAACAGGTGGCAGGAGGGGTGCTGGGGGGTGCCGTGTAGAGTTCACAGCGGCTACCCCAGAATGGTGGGGCACACTGGCAGGAGTAATAAGGAGGCTGGCGCTGAGGGTGGCAGCTGCCCCCGTGCTGGCAGGGGCTACTGGCACAGCCTGACTCACAGTCCCGGGGGTTGGGGCAAAAGCAGCGGGGTCCAGAGGCGGTGTGCACACACTGCTCTCCTTTCCTACATTTCACTTGTCCACAGCTGCTCTGGCACCTTGCCCCGGAAAATCCCTGTGGAAATCAGTGAGGAAATAAAAATGGCATTGGTAGGAAAACAGTCATATTGGAAGTTTTGGGTTTCTAGAAAACCTCCACATCTCACTACTCCCTTCTGTACTTCCTATTCAGCCCAAGCCAAGGTTACTAGACAGGTTTCCTTTTGGTATCTCCCGAGGCATAGGGATCTCTTGTTTTGGGAAGGTTTCAGCCTCTGGCAGTGATAAAAGAATGGGTATAGCAAAGAGCTAAAATTAAGCTTCCCTCTACTTTAAGAGACAACTTGCTTCCAAATGGTTCCTGCTAAAGAATGCAAGCAGAGCAGCATTTCCACCAACTCTGGCCTAACCTGGGCAGTGAGATAACCCTCCAGCATGGGGCCAAGAAGCCACATACATCAGCCCTATTTTCAAGGGGGCATTCCACCACTTTTTGTGGTTTTCCCTTAGTTTTTCTTAAGACTGACAGTCATGGATTGGGAAGCTCACTGTTTCTGGGAGTATCTAAACAGCTTTTATTTACTTTTGTTTTTGTTTTGTTTTGTCGCTTGTAAACAGCTTTAAATGGAAGAACCCAAGCACTTTCTTGTGAAAGAGTAGAACTGAGAAATCTTCCCATTTGGAAGATTGATTAAACCAGGTTTAATCTCAGTTCTGTCACAGATTGTATGGAAGAGACAATGCCCCTTCTTAGATGAGCAACAGGGCACTTACCGGGGGACAACGGCAAATGAAACCATCAGGCATGTTACTGGCCACAGCACAAGTCCCTCCATTCAGGCAGGGCATCTGGGGACACACATCAACGAAGGTTTCACAGTGCCGGCCTCAGAAAATAAAAAATAAAAAAAGCTTTAAAAGGCAGAAGTAGTCACTACAAGTTACTGAACAAACTTTGCTGGGATGGGAACTAGCCATAGGTGGAGCAAGTGTGAGAGAGTTCAGTTCTAAGCCTGTGGTAATCTGAGCATAGGAAGAAGACACTCACTGCATCTCAGCATGACTGGCCTGTCACTGGCTCACGCCAGTCCCTTACTCTGTCTTGCCTCCACAATAAGTACCAACTCACATGACAGGATGGGTGAGAAAAGTGACTTAAATCCCACCAAAAAAAGAGAAATCACACTTCAGCTTTTTGAAGTCACTTTAGCTTTCATAAACTGCAGGAAACAGTTGAAAAACTATTCATTGTATTTTGTTAATGCCATCTATTTCATAGGAGAGGCTATACCAGGCCAATATATTTAAAAGGTGATTTACAGCATAGAGAATTTTCATCTGTGATACCTCATTTCAATCACTTTTTGGCCTTTCTGTAACCTAACTCAATTCCTTAAAATGCAGCTTAATTTTCCTAGAGTTAGTTTCCTCTAGGAATAGTTCCAAAACAGAAGGTCCCTGGGGGCCACTGCTCCAAGATAAAGAGCAAGGCAACTGGAACCACAGAGGAGACGCAGGACACAGCTGGGACTCCTGGTGAATAGCAGGAGATAGGCCCCACCTGGCCTGTGGTCACTCGGGAAAGAAGAGGTAGCTTTAAAAATGAAACAAAAATATAATGTTTTTGGCCAATGAGATCAAGCAGCAAGAGGTATAAATGTTTGTCTCTTCAAATCACAGCAGCAGCCACTAACCAAGAGCAACCACCACATGGACACAGCTTGGTGGACCACCAGTCCCTTGCTGTTTATCTCTGCAACAGCATCCCACAATAATTGTGCTCAATGTATTAAACAGATTTTTTTTTTTCATTCACAAATGTGGAAAATGCACAAACACTACTTCCTGGCTATGGGACACTACTTCAAAGTGGTCTCCATTCCTTCCTTCTCCTGCTTCCCCCTTACTTTGCAAATGCTTGTCAGTGTTTCCAGAGAAAAAAGCCTCAGAGGCAATGAAAGAAACGGGAGCCAGTTTTGCTTCGTTGGCTTTCCAGCTGCAGTATGGCCAATACGAGGCTGTAGACAGACTGTTCATACTCATTCTGTTCCACATTGCCTCAATAGCTATTATGTTCACAACAGACTATTTCTTTTTGGATGTTAGTGTATCCAGTGAGCTTCCATATTGCAGAATCCCTATTCTTTATAAAATTCCAAGATGGTAAGGTAGCATATCTTTAAAGTTGGAAGGAAAGATGGCTGAAGATGGGCTCGGGATGTAGCAGAGTTCAGCTTGATGAATTGTTTGTAAATAGACTATCAAAGCCTATTTTCTGACTCCCAAGGAATCTGATCATACCCTCCGTATAAGAAATACAACTACAGACCCCAGGAAATGCATAATTTTCAAATCTGAGTATCCTGCCACATCTGGATACAAACAACTATTTTAGTTCCCAATAGTCACCATGCTGCCCTCTCCAGAAGCAACTAGTAAGTTCTTGTGACAAGACCCCTATTCTGAGGCAGGGCTTGGTCATCTTCATGCCCTGTGATGAAAGAAAGAAGCTTGGGAACAGAGTAGGAACATGGCCAAGCCTTTACTGAGCAGGGCATTACTTGTGACCACTGCAACTTTTCATTTCATACCCATATCAACGATCCTTGGTTAAAGACACTTGAATTTGGACCTGCTCCCTTTAAGAATCTAAGCAGGATCCTAAGCTTCTCTGAGTCCTAGGAGTGGAATGATCACAGTGGCAGGAACTACCCTGTAATTCAAGCCTCACATGTCAAAGGAGGCAGGGCGAAGAAACTAGAGTTAGACGTAAGGTTCCTTAAAACAAAATGTTATTTTGTTCAGATGAAAAGAGTTCTGTGAATGAATGGTGGTGATAGTAGAACAACAATGTCAATGTACTAAACAATGCCACTGAACTGTACACTGCACACTTTAAAATGACTCAGATAGTAAATTTTAGGTTTTGGATATTTTGCCACTATTAAAAAATGTTATTTTGTTCAACTACTTTCAATATACACTGTAAAAAATATTCCTGCCATAGCATGATATAATCAATGCACAACAAAAGAATCTCTCAGGAAAAATTAAAGGCAGACACTGATTGTAACATCCATAGAGTACAGACCAAGAAAAAACTGGCTTTTAAAAATTGAGCTACTGTTGTTTTTCTTATATAAGAAAAGCTTCACTTGGGTCTGGGACAAGTCACAGGGCCCAATTTGTTCACTAAAACCATCTTTCAAGGCAGAGTGGCTAGGAGGCTAGAGAGCTTCTCACCAGTAAAGGCACTACGGCAAACACACAGGTAGTCATTGGTGAGCTGTATACAGTCCAGGCTGCCCTCAGAGCTGCAGGGGTTGGAGAGGCACTCGTTGATATCTCCCTCACATCGCTCCCCAGCAAAGCCAGGCAAGCAGCGACAACTGTAGCCTCCAATCCTATCCACGCACTGACCACCATTAAGGCAATGTGGACCCCTGGCACAGTCATCAATGTTTTCTTCACAGAGTAGGCCTGGAGGAAAGAGAAGAGGTACAGAATTATGAAAATCCTTTTAACCTGCTTTCCAGCAAGGGATAACCACACTTGTTGGCATTTTCACAATGAATCAGAGTATACTCTTCAACTGGTAGTGGGACCTTGTAGTTGGGCAGGGCAAAGCACATGCTTTATTCATGACAGCTGTCATCCTTCTGGTGAGTTGTACAAGTAAAGGAATGAACACACTAGAGCTCCACATGTACTCTCCCACACAATCCAGTGAAGTAGCACCCTATGGTGTAGGTCCTATTATTTGTCCCATCTCAAAGACAAGGAAACTGGAGCTCAAGAGAGGCTCAGTAATTTTTCCAAAGTATAATCTAAAATATAAAAACAGTCCAAAAAAGAACATAACAATAAATACAGTCATGCAACTGTATAATGACATTTTAGTCAATGCAGGCAGCATACACAACAGTGGTCCCATAATGAAGCTGAAGCTGATAAATTCCTGTTGCCTAGTAACATCATAGCCTTGTAATGTCATAGCACAATTACTTTTTAAATAAATTCAGTGTAGCTTAGGTGTACAGTTTTTACAAAGTCTACAGTAGTCTACAGTAATGTCCTAGGCCTTCACATTCACTTACCATTCACTGACTCACCCAGAGCAATTTCCAGTCTTGCAAGCTCCTTTCACAGTAAATGCCCTATACAGGTATACTATTTTTTATCTTTTATATTGTATTTTTACTGTACCTTTTAAGTTTTCTACGGTACCTCTTCTTAAATATGTTCAGATACATAAATACTTTCCATTGTGTTATAATTGCCTACAATATTCAGTTCAGTAAAACAAGGTGCAGGTTTGGAGCCTAGGTGTGTAGTAAGCTATATTCTCTCTGTTTGTGTAATTACACTCCATGATGATTGTACAACAATGAAATTGCCTAAGGGCGTATTTCTCAGAACATATCCCCACTGTTAAGTGACCCATGACTATACATAGGTTATGTAAATACATTGGTAACAATTGGAACTGAATTTTGAATGAAATACATTTTTAAGTTTTATAATCACTGGCTTTTTTCTGTAATAGTGTGTAAATGCACCAATGCTTTTTATTTAACAAAAATAGAGGATAAATTTCCTGCTGAGAGTTCAAAAGTTATTCCATTTAAAATAGGACTCATTTAATGTACTATAGCTATAAATGAGCCATCTAGTATGAATATCTGCATACAGTGTCTTAGAAAGAAACAAAAGAAATCAATGACTATTCTAGAAATTATTCTATGATTAATTCAAAAAGGTACAAAAGAGGCCGGGCGCAGTGGCTCACGCCTGTAATCCCAGCACTTTGGGAGGCTGAGGCGGGCGGGTCACTTGAGGGCAGGAGTTCAAGACCAATCTGCCCAACATGGTGAAACCCCATCTCTACGAAATACACAAAAATTAGCTGGGTGTGGTGGCACATGCCTGTAATCTCAGCTACTCGGGAGGCTGATGCAGGAGAATCACTTGAACCCGGGAGATGAAGGTTGCAGTGAGCCGAGATCACGCCACTGTGCTCCAGCCTGGGCAACAGAGCGAGACTCTGTCTCAAAAAATAATCATAATCATAATAAAAATAAAAACAGGTACAAAAGAAAACAGTTCTGTATTCCTGCCACTTGCATTGTAGCATACACTAACAAAAGCAAGATTATTTTTTAAAAAATGTAAAATAAGGCCCAATTTTCAATAGCAATTACCAAATTACCAAAGATAAAATACCTAGGAACAATCTTAACAAGAAATGTGTTACACTTATATGAAGACAACTTTAATACTGTCCTAACAGACACAAAAGAGACTTGAATAAATGGAAAGACATACCAGGATTTGGTTAGCAAGATTCCTCATCATAAAGTTGTCAGTTTTCTCTATACTGATTCATAAATTTAGTGAGACCCCAATAAAAATTACCAACAGGAATTTATTAAGACAAGCTGATTATAAAATTATGTGAAAAATAAACTGTAACTATAACCAGAAAAACTATGAAGAAGAAGATCCTTAATTGGAACAGAAAGTTATTGGTGAATTAATAGAATAACAGAGAAAATAAAGTCCAGAAGAATACCGAAAATACACATGGGAATTTAGAATCTGGCAAAGGTACCATCTCAAATCATTATATAAAAAACAAAATATTCAATAAATTTGTATTAACAAATGAGTAGCCATATGGAAAAAGTACTTGAAGAAAATATAGGAGAATTTCTTTACAACCTTCAAGTGTATAAGATGTTGCTAACTACAACTCAAAATCCAGAAGCCATTTTAAAAATGATAAATTCAACTTGATTAAAAAGTAAAAGTGTGCACTAAATATCACTATAAAGAAAATCAAAAGATAAAAAACAACATACTGGGAAAATATTTGTTTTTTTAATATCATAGACAGCCAATTTCCACAAAAAATTAAATCAACAACTTAATGGGGGAAAAAAGACATACATATATATATATAAATATATATATAAACAGAAACTGCAAGAAAAGGAAAAGAAAATGATTCTTAAATGAAAATATATTCTCCACCTTAACAAAAAGCCAGTATGCTGATATACTGAAATTACTGACTAAAATTATAAATGTACATATTACTCAATCCAGCGATTCTATTTCTGAAAATTTATTTTACCAATATACTTATATGCCTGCAAGATAACTGAAATATCTATCATGATGACACTGGTTAAGTAAAATATGGCATGCCTGTAAAAGGGAATTATGTAGCTATAAAAAATATTGAGGAAGTTCGGGCCAGGCGTGGTGGCTCACGCCTGTCATCCCAGCACTTTGGGAGGCTGAGGTGGATGGATCGCTTGAGGCCAGGAGTTCGAGATCAGCCTGACCAACATGGAGAAATCCTGTCTCTACTAAAAATACAAAATCAGCTGGGCGTAGTGGCACATGCCTGTAATCCCAGCTACTCGGGGGGCTGAGGCAGGAGAATCACTTGAACCCAGGAGGCGGAGGATGTGGTGAGCTGAGATCGTACCATTGCACTCCAGCCTGGGCAACAAGAGCAAAACTCCATCTCAAAAAAAAAAAAAAATATATATATATATATAAAAAAAATATATATTCCTACACACATCATAATCAAACTATCAAAAGATAAAGAATCTTAGAGGCATCAATATATATATAATATATATAATATATATATAGAGAAGTATATATAGAGGAGAGAGAAGTTCTATATTTTGATATGAAAATATCTCCAATTAAATAAAAACAAATCAAGTGCAAAAAATGTGTCTAATGTTCTATCTTCAGAGTAAAAAGGAAAGGAAATAAAATATCATTGCATTTGGCTTCTCTCTACATAAAGAAAATTTTGAAGGATACAGTTTTTGAAAAATTCTAGAAAGAAACACAAACAACTAAAAGTGGTGATTACGTGTTTGTGGGAGAGGGAAAATTTGCCCACCAGAAGAGAGATGGGAATGAGAAGTATTTTCACTGTATACTTTTCTACGTGTGAATACATTTTTGGTCTATATGCATATATGCATATCTCACCTTATACATAGAGTAAATTGAAAACAAAAAAGTAAAAACAAACAAAATCCAGTATATGCTCCCTATCTCAAAGAATATTTGATATTTAGGGATTGCTAGTAAAATGAACATAAATGTGTATTTCCCCATCAGAATGGAACCACCAGAAATAAACAGATCTATCAAATGAGAGAGAACTCAACCTCAGCCTGAAGCAAAGTAATAGGAAGAGGCAGAACTGTTACAGTTAGCCCTCGACCTGGGAAACTGGAGGGACATGCAGGCAAAGATCCAAGGCTTAGAAATACGGTGACACATTGTGGTGACTCTCACAATGGGGTTACGGGACTTTAGAGTTTCCTGGAATGTTTACCAATGGCCAGAGAAGTTAAGTCAGGACGAAAAAAAAAATATTGTTCCACATACCTAAACAAGCACACATAGTAAAATAATCCAAGGAACTGTAAGTAGGATAAAGTCAAAGAAATTCATACCTACACATATCATAATCAAACTATCAAAAGATAAAGAAAGAATCTTAAAGGCATCAAGAGAGAAGCAATGTATCACATATAAGGGAACTTCAACAAGATTAACAGCATATTTCTCATTAAAAACCATGGATATCAGAAATCAGTTGGATGACATATTCAAAGTGCTGAAAGAAAAAGACTGTCATGATAATATCGAAACTAGTATTCTAAGCCATCTTTACCACAGGGTTAGAAGAGACAAAAATTTTGTTTCCTCCTGAAATGATCCATTCTAGGACTGGACATGTCTTATTAATTAAAAGTTCATGGTATGGCAGTGATTTTAGAGTTTGATGAATACTCATGTATTCTCCTATATTTCCCAGCCTCCCTTAAAGTCATGGAGGCCATTTAATAATTCTGGTCAATATACTGTGAGGAACAGTGATGTGTGTTGCTTCCAGACTGAGCTAGTGAAAGCTGCTGTATGACCCTTCAAGTCTGTCTCTCTTCCCTGTACTGTGGAGGCCTTGGAGGCCAGGTGTTTCAAACTACATATCTGAAACACAGAGAAAGGTAGCCCAACACATATTCGACTTTATCTGAGTGACAAAATCAGTGTTATATTAAGCTCTGAGATTTGAGGTTTAATTAGCTGCTATAGCTTGAAGTTTGACTCCTTCAAACCACATGTTAAAATGTGATCTCCAATGTTGGACATAGGGCCTAATGGGAGGTATCTGGGTCCCTGGAGTAGACCCCTCATGAATGTCTCAAGGTGCTATCCTTGAGACAATGACAGCATTCTCGCTCTATTAGTTCCCATGAGAGCTGGTTGTTAAAAAGAGCCTGGGATCTCCCTCCCCTCTCACTTGCTTCATCTCTTGCCATGTGATCTCTACACACATTGGCTCCTCTTCACTTTTTACCATGAGTGGAAACAGCCTGACGCTCACACCAGAGGCAGATGCTGGCACCATGCTTCCTGTACAGCCTATAGAACTGTGAGCCAAATATACCTCTTTCGAAAAATAAATTACTTAGTCTCAGGTATTCTTTTATAGCAACATAAATGAACTATGATAATAGCTATCACCAGAATCATAGCTTGTCCTAACCAGTACAATTTCTCAAAGGAACAAACTAACAATGAATTGGAATTAATTTCTACTCAACCATTGATTTCTAGAATAAAGAACAATTCTCCTTTTTGCAGGACCATTCTTCAAATACTTAAAGACCGTTTCTCCTTAGTTTTCTTCTTCCCATTAACCTCATTCCTCAATAACGAGCCTACTAGTAGGGTACTCTCCTATTTTAATTTAGTCAAACTCTGATATCTGGGGAGGCAAATTATCAAACTTTACTGACACAAAGCTCTAAGGCAATACAAATACTTCTCTGGCACTCTGTTCTCTTTGACACTAACGAGAATGAATTTGTCACCAGTGTGGATGGCCTTTAACCTTTTTTTTCACAGGCTTCTCAGAGTAGGCCCCATCATAACTACATCTCTTCTGATAAACAATACTCAAAACTCTTTCCAAGGGATGGTTCAAAAGCAGTGTCAATGTTCGCAGCAGAATCATGGCCCTACCACTTAGTTGAAAAGCAGTGGCAATGCCCACAGAAGAATGATGGCCCCATCACTCACAGTCCATGGTGCATCTCTCATCAGGCCTTACTGCAATTCCTAAGGTGCACCATCAGTATCCTCCCCTGAGGTGATGAAAATAGGCAGATATTTTCATTTCATTCATTCCCCCACCTTCTAGAGGTAAGACTTGGCTAATTTAAAAAATACATAAGCAGGTAAATGTAAATTGTTTATTTTAGAGGTCATTAGTTGCTTTTCTGTGAAGCAACAAGAAATCTTACTGACCAAGCTAATTTTGTTATGTTATGTTAATATTGTATCAGTTCCATATTCTGTGTTTCATGGAATATCAAGATGCCAAACAACCGGATAAAACTGAGAACATAAATCACAACATCAGAGTTAGCAAGAGATGGGAGAATAAAATGGCTTGAATTACTAGGATGCAGAACTAAATGCTTGGAATGAAGCTAGTCTTACTATCTTTGATTTTATAAAATCCCCTGAACACTAAGAATGGTTTTATAACTTAGACAATGTCCTCGATGGAAAATGGATAAGGATGATTTCATACCCCGAGTGCCTGGTGGGCAGGAGCACTTGAAATGGTTCACAAGGTCAATACAGGTGCCTCCATTCTGGCAGGGCTGATTCTGGCACTCATCCACTTCATACTCACAGTTGACACCCTGATAGCCTGGGACACACTGCCATGAGGAAACAAAATGGGCAAGAAATACTGGACCATTACTGGAAACAGACCATGAGAGCAAGTGAGATCTGGAACATTTCTGTGACTCTCTCCCACCTCCCCACTTAGCTTTTGTATGTTTTCTCTGGAGCCATCACACTCTCTGCTAATCATTCTATGCAGGGACAGAAAACCCGCAGCTTACTGGCATTTACCTATTCCTCCTCCAGTTGAAAAAGGCACTTTAAAAGGAAGGCAAAGACTGAATACAATGAAGGATATTTCAGATTTGACTGTGTGCAAACCTTTTGTTCCTCCCAGGTACAGGTTTCCTCATCTTTAAAATACACATTCCTCTGTATGTGACGAGGACCCTATGACTCAGTCAAAAGGCATATGTGGATGGTAGCACAGACATGCAATTATTGATCTCCAGGTTTAGGAAACTGCATGTATGTGTGAGAAACTGGTTGAGATACGGCTGGGGGTAAAGGGAGGTGGGTCTGGCTGGCTGTGGTGGCTATAGGGGTTGGCAGGATTTCAGGGCTGACCAAGAGAAAGGATATGGCTGTGAGGTGGTTTTATTTGGACACTTTGACAGGTTTGCATGTGGGAGAAGTCTCATATAGCATGAGACCTTCCAGAGGGGTAGGTGGGTAAGAGGAAGACAGCAAGTAAACTCTGGGAAAGAAGGATCAGAGAGGGAGTCTAGGTGATGTCACTCAGCAGCCAGTGGCAGGAATCTCTGGGTCAGAGAGCTCTAAAGGCCAGCATCAGTCTGGGGTCTGTATGGCCCCAGGGTTTATCTTGTCCTACTTATACTATGGCTAGCAGATTTTGGCTGCTGTTTTGCAGGCTATGCAAAGCAGGCAAGCTCTAAATAGTTAAAAATCTGCTTATTTGAGCGCTATGTTTAAAACAACTGGATGTGTCAAAATTTGGGTTTGGCACTGGCAGGCCTTTCAGCTAATGAGTCCCAGCCTGCTGTGAAGAAATAAACAACCCAGGGGCCAAAATACAGAAGCTATCATTGGCTCATTCATATAACAATAGAGAAGCAAAGCTTTTCTCAGTGTTGCTTGGTGGTTTGAATTGGTATCCAATTAATGTCTTAGACATTTTGCTAATATCTTGCTTGCTCTAACCATTATCAGCCCAGACATTAAAATAGTGACATGTCCCTTGAAGACACATACTTCCTCCAATATATACATGTAACATTTAGCATGATGCTATGGGGAACAGGACGAGCAACATTTTTTTTGAGAGAAAATTGCTAGTTGACTGATTAATGACTACATACAAAGGTGACAGGGGCCAAAGGAATACTCCACAAAGCAGTTTTTCCTATCTCAGCTGCTATTCAGGGAAGTGCGGACTGCTATGTTGGGTGAGCCTGTAAAATGCACTCTGGTAGTGACTCTTGGCTCCGAATCCTAAAAGCAAGCCTAAGGAGCTGGGATGGTTCCATACTAGGGACATGTTAACTTACTGCATAGAGAAGCTGAAAGAAACAGTGGTAAACACTATGATGGGGATTGGTAAAAATCTATAAACTATAAATATAAGATACAAGCAGCTAAATTCAATATATCAGTGCTCAAAACAGTTGTATGATCTCCTGGGAGGTCCATGACCTCTGCTTGTTCAGTGTCCTCACCTCGCATCTGTATCCACCAATGAAGTCACTGCACGTTGCCCCGTGCTGGCAGGGGTTGGACGCACACTCATCGAGCTGTTCCTCACAGTAGCTCCCAGTATAGCCCAGGGGGCACTGACAGTAATGTGTGTTGCCAGCATTGATGCAGACACCTGAGTGCTGGCACAAGTGTTCAACAAGCACACCTGGGAAACCCAGTGAGGAAGAAATGTCACAGAAGAACATGTGACACGTGGGGTTCAAATCAACCAATGAGCAAGTAAACCTAAACTGGCTGACACATCAAATCTTATTCTTAGCCAGTTCTTCACAGCCCTCAGTACCAGATGTATATTAAAAATAAACCCTGAAAGTGGAATATACCTTAGTTTCATTTCAAATACATTTCTTCCTGGAATCTCTGAACCTATTCCTCTACCCTTACATCTTCTATCTTGAGCCCTTTCCCCAGAGCCCTGCCCACCCACTACTATCTGCCCTTCCCTCTTATCTGACAAAAAATAATACCTGCTCTAAATGCCACTGGTCAGTCAATATTTCAGTGAATGACCTGAGTCCAAGGGAGCAAAGCTTACCTCTCCTGGAGGCTGCTATGTCACAAGAGACATTGGGCACGTCACAATAAGCACCAGCCCATCCAGATGGACATCGGCACCGGGACTCTGCTTTATCCTGAATGCAAGTACCTTTGTTTTTACATGGAGACCGACTGCAGAGGTTCACCAGGGTCTGAAACAGAGGCAGGGGTGTACATACATCAAAATCCAAATACTAGAAATGAAGAAAAAGAAGTTCTATTATGTTACAAGAAATCAAAGAAAAGCACACTGATTAAAAAGAAAAGGAGCCTTCATCTAGTAAAAGAGCCCTTAAACTAGATTCAGTGTTCTGAGGTACACCTAACCATTTTTTATGTACCGTAAGTCTTCACTTAACGTCATCATTAGGTTCCTGGAAACTGCGACTTTAAGGACAACAATATATAATGAAACCAATTTTACCACAGTCTAATTGATATAAAAAAGAGTTAAGTTCCTGTACTTATTTCTGGTTAAAAAAGTCACTAAACTTCAAATTCACACCCACTTCTAATATTAAACATTAAAATAAACAAGCTATACATTCATTTAAGAAATATTAATAAAAACAAGTAAAATAATTATTTATCCAATTTTTGGTGAATCCGCGAGTAACGGTAGTCCTAATGGTGGCAGGTCAAGTCAAGGAATAAATGTTTGCAAAGCAAAACTGTCAGCACCTCTTACCACCACACAGTTCAGAAAGCAACACTAACCAATATGGCAGGCTTGCTGGGTGGTTTTGTACCACATCGTTTATTGTTGTGCACCCGGTACAATTATCATAGGCTTTATGAGTTTTCATTTTACAATAATTGGCATATTCATTCATTTCTTTTCTTTTTTTTTTTTTTTTTCTTTTGAGATGGAGTCTCACTCTGTTGCCCAGGCTGGAGTGCAATGGTGCAATCTTGGCTCACTGCAAGCTCCGCCTCCCGGGTTTATGCCATTCTCCTGCCTCAGCCTCCTGAGTAGCCGGGACTACAGGTGCCTGCCACCACACCTGGCTAATTTTTTGTATTTTTAGTAGAGACGGGGTTTCACCGTGTTAGCCAGGATGGTCTCGATCTCCTGACCTCATGATCCACCACCTCAGCCTCCCAAAGTGCTGGGATTACAGGCGTGAGCCACCGTGCCTGGCCCCATTCATTTATTTTCTAACCCATTTATTCCAGTTCAGGTTCATGAGTGGCCAGAGCCTATTCTGGCACAATGGGACAATGTAGACATGTCCACTTCACCCAACATACATGGCTTTGAGTTGTGGGAAGAAACTAGAGTCCCTGGAGAAAACCCACACAGACATGGGGAGAACATGCAAACCCCACACAGACAGCAGCTCTGGCCAAAACCAGATTTTTTCCACCACTCAATGTTATAACAAAATGACGCTGAAGGAAACAAAGTTATTTGAGGGCCTGCTGTAGTCTAATTCCTCTTAGGTCTTCTATTTAAAAGGTTATTACCAAAAAAGTTTAAAAATTCAAGGAAGCCCAACAGGTTAAGCTATTCCCAATGCTCTAGACATGATTTGCCTACATGTATGGCCACCCCGCAGTGCTAGAAAGAAAGAGTTAAAGCTGTCAGACAGGTTCACACTTTCTGTGCTAATCCTGTGTGAGAAATCCACATGGGTCTTGACCAAATCTGTTATAAGCCTAAAATAAGCTTATAATTAATGTTAATAAGCCTAAAACCTGTTTAAGAGCTTATTTCTAAGGAAGGCAATCTGAGGCAAAGAGTGCACAAGGACTGGCACCTTTCATCTGAATTCACACATGGAGTGGCTTGGCCCCTTGAGGAGAGGAAGGCCAAATTCACAATATAGACTGTTTGCTGGAAGAAGGGAGGAGTGCTTCGTCAGCACTTCCAATCGACGCTATGAGAACAAATAGAAGCCCAACCAAAAACGCTCTCGGGATCCATGGAATCTGCAACAAGCCGCTTAATTCTGTGGAGGTGGGTGCTCCCATGTCTAATATAGCCTAAGCCTTACTTAAGTGCGCCCTGTAAGTCAAGTTTGGCCATTTGTTCCTATGTTCTTTGGAGTTATTATTCTATCACCATTAAAGAGGTAGAATAACATAAAATTAAATACAGTGCTGTTTGGTATGCAGCTTTGGAAAAGTTACTTTGCCCCTCTGGGGCTCAGTTTTGCCTTCTATGAAATCAAAGGTTAGATTAGTTGCCTATAAGGGCTCTTTCCATCCTAAAATTTTATGGAAGTGTGTATTTACATATTTGAACTTAAAAGATATGCAAATCGTTTGGTTTTGAGAATGTTACCACATTGTAAGATATAACAATTATCATTATTACCCCCTTAGATGTTGCATCTGACCTTTAAAAGGTTATTTTGATTATTCTCTATTTTCTTCAGTTCTTTCTGTGCTTCCAATGTAAAACAAAACAAAACAAAACAAAAAACAAAAAACAAAAAAACTGTGTTTATTTCCCATAAGTATTTTTCTGCAGTTCGTGGTTAGCCTCTTTTCAAGATCTTACGTTTGTGAATCTATATCATATTTCCAGCACCATTTTGGAATCTGCAAGTTATTAAGAAGTTACCTAGATTATCTCAGGGACATTCCTGAGATCCACAATAGTCTCTTTTAGAAGGAACTTATTCAGACTAGAAAGTGAACAGGTATAATATTCAGCTGCTCTAGGGGAGCAGTTTGGTGAATGGGAAGGAAGTCAATTACCTGACAGTTTTTCCCAGTGTAGCCCAGGGGGCAGCTACAGTGGTAGGTACCCAGGCCATCAACACACGTTCCCTCATTCAGGCATGGATGAGAGCTGCATTCATTGATCTCATGGAGGCAGAAGAGTCCAGTGAAACCCACAGGGCACAAGCAAGAGAAGGAGTTAATCCCATCAACACATGTGCCACCATTGAAACAAGAGCTAAGAAGCAAACAGAGAGAGCAACATCAGCTATGCATCTGGTGCCTGTGACTTACTACTAGAAAGTAAGATTTCTGGAATCTAAGATGTTACAGAGGCAAATACCTCTGAGCAACCCATATCCCGTAAACTTTCTTACAAGCTAGATTGGGTGCCAGAAGCTCTGAGGTGCCCACTTCCTTTCTATAATCAAAGGCTCAGAAGTATTTAAAAGACTGAGCTTAGTATAGATACCTAGAGAAAGTGAAGTTTTCTAGGTTTTACCCAGTTCTTCTGTAGTTTTCCCATGTACCTCATTTCATTTTATCTCTAAGTCAATTTATTTGAAAAATCCTCTTCACTATAGATTATTTATAAAAGACAAATAGAACAAATATGTTCATGATATTATAAAAACAAATGAAACAAAACTCCCAGAAATTTCTTAAAGACTGGTAACAATTCCAATCTCTGCAGAGAAAATGGAATTTTTGGATTTTTGAAATGAACAAGAGACCAAGGGAAGAACAGAACAGATTTATAGCTCTTTCTGTTCTCTAAGCAAGAAATAATAAACCATCCCTATAAACTTTGCAACCTCTGACCTTTAACTTTCTAACTACATATGTTTTTCAGGAACCAGTAACTGGGCAATAGGAGATGACTGTGGACTGGGATCCATGGGGACACCTCATCCCTGCTCCACAATTCTAGCACTGTGCTCTGAAGTTTCCTTCCCATTCTCCCTTTCTCTTGTAAGATGCTGATGCCCGAGTGATTGGTTGCTCACCTCTCAGTGCACTCATCGATGTTGTTCTCACAATGGACTCCATCAAATCCTGCCTGGCACTTGCAAGTGTAACTGTTGACGTAGTCAGAGCAGGTCCCTCCATTCTTACAGGGTTCACTTAGACACTCATTCATGTCTGTCTGGCACTTATCCCCAGTGAAACCCGGAAGGCAGAGGCAGGAGAAAGTATTCACTCCATCCACACAGGAACCTCCATTCTGGCAAGGATCTAAGCCATTACATAAGAATTAGAGCTCTGAAGAGTAGCATCAATTTAATCTTAGATTCATAAAAGTGAATGACCTGAACTAAGTCACGCCGAGGGCAGCATAATTCTGACTTTTTCATTGAATTCTGCCAACTCCCCCATTTATGAAAATCAATTCAGTAATACTTGCTTGAAGTTTTTAACCTGTTTGTTAATTGGAATAAACTTCATCTATATCACCACCAACAGTTTTGTAAAACCAATAGTCATAAAACTTGCATTGGTCCCTCACACATTTGCAAATCAAATATGTGCCCCAATACACAGACTATCAATCAATATTTTCAAAAGGTATATGTGATTGTGCAGTGTGTGGGGGAGGACAAAATACACATATTCATGTTTTTCCAGGCATATTAACTAGATAAATTAATCTTCTCTCTCCCTTTCACTTCTGTCTCCTCTCTCTCTTTTTCTCTCTTTTAGATTTCAGTAGCCTTATGAAACAAAGTTTAAATAAAAATTGGAACACTTTATACTCATAGTAAGGAACCAACAAATTTTAAGCGACAGTCATGCCACGGCACTCTACAATCATATGGCATACAAATCAGAACAAGAAAAACAAGCTGTAGCTATGGCTCTTAAGGAACTTAAAAATATAATTGCAAAGATGGGTTATACATGTAAAATGAAAACTAAATACTAAACTAATGGGTAATGTGACCCTTATTTTATTAGAGAAACATTTAATATACCTCATTTATCTCTTGAACTAATTCCCTTATAAGACTCATCTGCAGTCTCTATTAAAGCAATTGTAAAAATTGTTTCAGTTAAGAAAAAATTGTTTCTTAACCACAGTACACAGTTACTATAATTTCCATAGCATCTTTCAGGAAACTCACCATCCATAGTTTACTGAATTATTTTAAACTCATTGTAAATACTGTTGGTTCCACTTCATATAGAAAAATTTAAAAATACTCAGTATTTTGAATGACATGTTACTCAATGTGAGAAAGAAATACAAACAGCTTGATCTCACTCCCTAAAGTTCTCCATCAATTGTGCCTTGGATACATACTTTTTTACCATTTGTAATACATCATTAAAATTATTTGTCCATATGTCTGTTTTTTTTTTTTAAAGATGAAGTCTCACTCTGTTGCCTGGGCTGGAGGTGCAGTAGCACAATCTTGGCTCACTGCAACCTCCACCTCCTGGGTTCATGAGATTCTCGTGCGTCAGCCTCCCGAGTAGCTGGGATTACAGATGTCCGCCACCACGCCTGGCTACTTTTTGTATTTTAGTTTCACCATGTTGGCCAGGCTGGTCTCAAACTGTATCTATATGTCTTTCTTCCCTAATAGACTATGAGCTTCATGAAAATAGAAACTAAAACTTATTTATCTTATCACTGCCAGCGCCTAGCATGGTGGCCTCCCTATGATAATCTGAAGTTATATATCCTATAAATTAAGGTGCCATTATTAATGCATTGTGATAATCTCATTTGAAGTTTAATGACTTAATCATTACACAAGTAACTTAGGATTGGTCAGTACATACGTAATAAAACTATTAAGGCTAGGGGAACAACCACCAGAAAGACGTAGGCAGTATAATCCCTATAGTTTTCATTGGGCTGCGAATAGCTCATGTTCATTCAATAACAATGAAAAAAACCATGTGGCAGTGAGTAGAGTCCCGAGGGACCCCTGTCTTAGTAGTGAGCCATATTAGCCCTCGACTAAAGACTATTTTGGAACCAATTAACAAACTTGAAGTAAGACTCTGAAGGATTGGACTATGTCCAAATAATTGAATATTTGAATAAAGTTCAAAAATGTTTTTTTAAAAAAGATATTTAAGAAAATTCAGCATGGAACAATGTAAAATGGATGTCTAGCATCCAACAAAAAATTACCAGGCAGGCAAAGAAGCAGGAAATACAACTCAAAATGAGTAGAAAAAATTTGAACAGAAACATACTCAGGAGTTTCTTATATGGTAGAAAAGTAGGTAAGGACAATAAAATATGGTCAATTATTATCAACTATAAAACGATGATACTCAATATGTTCAAGAAGGAAATAAAAGGATGAACATGACAAAGAGGGAGATAACATTAAAAGAAAGACTTGAACTAAACTTCTACCTATAAAAACATAATATCTGAGGGAAAAATATACTAAATGAGATTAACAGTAAACAAGAAACTATAGAGGAAACAATTAGTGAACTTGGAAGTATAACAAGATATCTTCAAATAATAAAATAATCCAAAATAAAACACTAAGTGGAAGAAACACTGAAAAATAAATGAATCAACCTTGCAGTCTAATAAATGCATAATGAACATTATAAAGGGGAGAGGCAAAAACTTTTGGGAAAAAAAAGGTTAAATATTTTCCAAATAATGGTTAAGTATTTTCCAGACCTGGACCCCTAACCAAAAATACAAGTAAACTCCAAACAGAAGAAACATAAAGAATACTACACTAACAGGCATTATAATCAAGTTGGTAAAAATCAGTGAAAAGAGGATATCTTAAAAGCAGCCACAGGAGAGATAATTATATATGAAGGAACAGATAAAAGAATTGTGGAATAACAGCAGATTTCTCCTCAGAAATAATGCAAGGTAGAAGATAATAGGATAGCTTTAAAGTGCTGAAAGAGTAAGTCAATTTAGAATTCTCTTCTCTGTGAAAATATCTTTGAAAACTAAAGCAAAATAAAAACCTTTCTGACACACAAAAACAGAAAGACTTCATCACCAGGAGACAAAGATTACACAAAATATTCAAGGGATTTTTTCAGACAGAAGGAAAATGATACCTGATGGAAACACAAATCTACATAAAAGAATAAAGACCAACAAGACTGGAAAATATGTGGGTAACCTAAAGACTTTTAAATTATTTTTCAAATTTCTTGAAAAAATAATTTACCTTTTAATTATATATTTGGTGGGTTTAACGATATATACATTTTATAACAACAATACAAGAGAGGCCAGGAGGAATGCAAATGTGAGTGTACAGCTCTTCTCCTCTATATGAAGTTGCATGATTGAAGGTACATTATAACAAGTTAAAGTTGCACACCAGTAATCCCTACAATAACTACTAAAAAATATATAACGAATACGGTAGTGAATATAGATAAATTTTTGAAATTTATGTATGTAGATAACATATAATCATAAAAATACGCAATTATTTCAAAGATGTCAGAAAAAGAGGAAAATGGAAACAATAAACAGAAAGAACAAAGATAAAGCAAACAGCAAGATGGCATATTTTGAAGCCAGCCATATAAAAAACTACATTAAATTTAAACAGTCTAAATACCTGAATTAAAAGATGGATATTGTCATATTGGAGAAAAAAGATAAGACCCAACATATGCTCTCTACAAGAAACCCATTTTAGAGAAACAGGTCAGAAGTAAAAGGATTTTTAAAAACACACTCTAATGATAAAATAAAGCTAGAGCAGCTATATCAATATCAGGCAAAGTAGACTTCAGAGAGAGAAATATGACAAGAGTTTAAAAAGACCATTTCAAAATGATAAATGGGTCAATTCCTCAAAAGGACATAAGAACCCTAAATGTTTATAAGCACTTAATATTAGTTTCAAAATTCATTAAGCCAAAACAAATAGAATTACTAGAGAAACAGATGAATATACAATGATAGTAGAAGATTTCAATACTCTTGAATAAGAAATAAACAGAAAGCCTACTTACTATACTCTATGAATAATAAGTAGACAGAAAGTCATAGAGGACATAAAAGACCTGAATAACACTATTATCCAATTTGAATTAATAACATTTATAGAACACTCTATGAAAAAATCTGCAAAACAGACATTCTTTCCTCTCAAAGAAGAGACAAATTACCAATAGTAGAAACATGAGAAGGAAATCGTCACAGATCTTGCAGACTATTAAAGCCCAGTAAGGAAATGTTACGAAACAAATTGATGTTATGTCAACAAATTTGACAAAACAGATGAACTGGAGGAATTCTTTGAAAGACAGATGTTACCAAAGCTCAATTAAAAACAGATAGCCCATAAGGCAATATATGCATTAGGAAAACCAAACTTGTAGTTAAAAACTTTCCCAGAAAGAAGGTTCCATGTCTAGATATTTGGAAGAAAATACACCAGTTCTACATAAATTCTCCCAGAAAACAGAAAGAAACACTTCCTGATATGTTCTATGAGGACAGCATTGCCCTCCTATCACAACCAGACAATGATAGTACAAGAAACCTGGAGAACAATATCCTTCATGAACACAGATATAGAAATCCTTAACATTTTGGCAAATCAAATCCAATAATACATAAAAGGAGTAATACATAATGACCAAATGGAATATAGCCAATAAATTTAAGATTAGTTTAACATTTGCAAAATATTAAATAATAAAGTTGATGACAATTTACTTATATTAAAAGACCAAAAAATAATTTCACCATGTCAACAGATGTAGAGAAATCAACTGCACACCAAAAAATAAACATTCATTCATTATAAAAATACAAAAAGACCTCTTAACAAGCTAGAAGTACAAGGTCTCTCAATTTGATAAAGAGCCTTTATGAAAACCTACTTAATGGTAAAAGACTACATACTTTTCCCCCAGGATCAAAAACAAGGCAAGGCTGGCTTCTCTCACCACTTCTATTCTGCATTTATTGAAGATCTTAGTACAATAACACACAATATGTAAAAATTAACTCAGATCATAGGCCAAAATATAAGAGCTAAAACTATACGACTTTTAGAAGAAACCACAGTAGATAAACCTCGAGTTTGGATTAGGTGAAGATTTGTTAAACAAGAAATATGAAGCATGAACTATAAAGAAAAAACATGCATACACTGAATTTCATCAATGTTAACATCTTCATCTTCAAAAGAAATCAAAAGAGAAGCTATAAATTGGAGGGAAGTCGTTGGGAAGCAAATACCTGTCAAAGAATTCCTACCTAAAAATATAAAGAACTCTTTCAACTCAAGAAGACAAACAACCCAATTATTTCAAATTGACAAAAGATTTAAATAGACATTTCACCAACGAAGATATGCACATGGGCAAAAAACACATGAAATGATGCTTAACATCATTGGCAAAGATAATAACACAAATTAATATCACAATGAAATACCACTACACACCAACTAGAAGAGCTAAATTTAAATGACTGATATCACTAAGAGTTTGTGAGCATATGGTTCAAATAGAACTTTCATACAATTCTGGTGAGAATGAAAATAGTACAACCACCTTGGAAAATATTTTGGCAATTTCTTAAAAAGTGAAACACACACTTAGCACATGATTCACCAATTCTACTCCTAGGTATTTACTCAAAAGAACTAAAATCATATGTCCACCCAAAGACTCATTCATAGCAACTTCATTTGTAATATCCCCAAATTGGAAAAAACCCAAATGGCCATCAACCAATGAACTGTAATATGTCCATACAATGGAATACCGTGCAACAATAAACTAGAATGTACTATTGGTATAAACAACATGGATGGATCTCAAATACTATGTTCATTAAAACAACTCAGAACTTCTCCTGACTTATGCTTATCTGATTGCATTTATACGGAATGATAAAAACTGCCAACTAATAATCTATAGTGACAGAAGGTAAACCTGTGGCTCCACAAGCAATAAAGAGAGAGAGAAGGTTAAATTGCAATGGGATGAAGATAATTTTAGGGTGATAAATATGTTTATTATTTTGGGTGATAGTTTCAGTTACCATATGTCAAAATGTGTCAAACTGTACACTAAAAATATCTGCAGGTTAATGTATATTAATTATACCTCAATAAATCTGTTTTTTAAAAAACACTATCATAGCATTGTCCTCACATTTTCAATGTTCACAAATTAAAGGGAATACTTAAAATATATTCCACTGCCTCAACTCCAAGACACTAGCTTCAAAAGAAAGAGTTAAAACACTACTCTTAAATATGCTGGATAAATGACCGGTATGCCCAATGTCAGGCATGAGTGGTGGCAGCCTCCACTGTGCTCTCCTCTGCTCCCTGTGTGCTTTCCTTTCTTCAGGGGGGCTTAAGAGCTGACTGGCATACTCACTGGCAAGACAGTCATCGATGTCCTCCTCACAGTCCATACCACTGAAGCCTGGTGGACATTCACACATGTAGCTGCCCTGGGTGTTATGGCAGAGACCATGGTTCATGCAGGGCTTGGAGATACACTCGTCAATGTCAATGGTACACCTCTGACCTAGGAACACAAGGCCAGTAAATGACCTAGTCCTTGGAAGGTGATTCCCACAAACACCTATGCAGGACCTGAGCTTAAGTTGGGGTGCATGGAGCTATTCCACAAACTGGTTGGTCCCCTACTTTAGGAAGTTTCAGGCAGACTTCTGTGGCCTAGGAAGTTGCTGCCAAGGTGCTAAAACTCCCTGAAGAACGAACATCATGGCTTGAGAGTCTGCGGTAGCAGCCTTCCAGCCCTAGGGGGCCCCAAAGACACGGACAATGGAAAGGCTTTCTAAGTCATTCCAATTAGCAGCTCCTATGCAAAACCTGTGTGCTCTTGACAAGAGACAGGCCTCAGAAGACCAGCAGGGCCTTCCATATGATCTGATAACCTGACCACTTTGTTTAAAGCTCAGAATGCATGTTCTTGGCTTCTCCACACCCATGTTGTTACCTTGCCAGCCAGGAGCACACAAGCAGGTGTAACTCTCAAAATTTGGTGACTCTTTGCAAACAGCAGCATTCTCACAAGGGTTTGGGGAACAGGGAGCCAATACTGTCTGACAGTTCTTGCCTGGAAAGTAAATGACAGAGTTTATGACACATAAACAGGTAAGAAAATGAAAAATTTCCCAAGTTGTATCCCAAGGATGTTCTCTGAATTTAAGTAAGAAGTCCTGATTAAGAGGCTTTGAAAATGGAGAAACCCATAGTCTTTTCAGCATTGGCTCCGATATTGCTAACTGTGTAACCTTGGGCAAGATAGTTAGGGACCTCCTACAACTGTGATTTTATGAACTAGGCCTGTTAAATGTAGTTTCCCTACATTACTATTTCTTTCTTTCTTTTTTTTTTTTTTGAGATGGATTCTCACTCTGTCACCCAGTCTGGAGTGCAGTGGCATGATCTCAGCTTACTGCAACCCCCATCTCCCAGGTTCATGCCATTCTCCTGCCGCTGCCTCCCAAGTAGCTGGGACTACAGGTGCCTGCCACCACGCCCGGCTATTTTTTTATATTTTTAGGAGAGACGGGAATTCACCATGTTAGCCAGGATGGTTGCAATCTCCTGACCTCGTGATCCGCCCACCTTGGCCTCCCAAAGTGCTGGGATTACAGGGTGAGCCACCGTGCCCGGCCTACTATTTCTTCTAGAGGGGAAAAAGTAACAATGTGCTATCAAGTCTTTCAGGTAACACAGTCATGCTATGGTTATTCTGCCACTCTACGCAACTTAGCGTCACTATCAACAGCTGTTATCAACAGCTGAAGACTCCAGGGAAGTAATAACTCAGCCATGCTCCTGACTGCATGCCGCAACCTGATGAAACAGACAGTTATTGTCTATGTTTGTGTTCTGTTCCCTCTGAATGAGGAAAATAGATGAAGAGGAGACAAACAAGCCATAGAAATATAACCAATCACAAGAAGGCAATAATAAGCCAGTAGAAAACAAAGAATAAATGTCCCAAGCACACTCCAAATGTAACACCTGAAACAAAGAACAGCTATGTGGCATGCAGTCACACTCACGTCTTCTCAGTTGTAACAGCCGTCAAGGGGGTGACATCTCTGAGTGAGATGTAGCGGTACTGAATGTGGGAAGTAAAAAGGTCATTAAGAGGAAAAACTTCAGATTCAAAGAGACTTACAGGTAAATCCTAGATGTACCACTTACCTATATGACCTTGAGCAAGCAAACTCCCTTTGCCTCAGCCTCCTCATGTGTAAAATGGCAATAGGAACTTCTACATTGTAGAATTATTGAGGAATACATTAAATAATCCAAAGTACAAAAAGTGCCTGGCACATAGTAAATTACCAATAAATGGTAGCTGTATTATTGAAACTAAGACAAATAGCTAATGTCCTGGAAACGGTCAACTGATAGACAACCATCAGCTATGTGCCTGGTTCCAGTCACATACAATTAAAATTTTTTTTTCTTTCAAATACTTAAGTACAATGTAGGCAAATGACTGTCTACCACTTGCATCTTAGGAGGCCACAATGTTTCCTCAAAGCTCAAGATCCAGTCAGTAAGGGCAGGAAGGACAACTGAGGAGTGAGCCCTTGGAGCAGCACTGCAGCCCCACAGACCTGGGCACTCAGACTCAGGCACTGACAAAGCAAGGCCAAGTATCCCCTCTGGTCCCTGCTAGTACTTCCAGGACCCACCTGTGTATGGCAGCACACAGTGGCAAGTGTAGCCACTTATGTCATCAAAGCAGGTTCCTTGGTTCAAGCATGGATTTGAGGCACATTCATCAATATTCACCTGGCAGTTATAGCCTGTAGACAAAAGGGAAAAACCAAAAACAGTAAAACTTTCTGACAGTCTCATTATCTCAATTTCTAACCAATTCTCTTTGGGGGTAAAAACTGAACACACCAGAAAGTGCATTCATTTCTTCAGGCCACTGAAATATCTGTTCATTCATTTCAGCCCCATGTCCCTGACATACAGTCAGTAAATGACAGCAGTCAATTAGTTGAAAAGATGTATGGAAAAACAGTCTGTTCTAACGGTCTGAAAGCCTAATGCCCCTCCAACTACAATTAACTTCTCAATAATGAAGTTCTTGGTTCAAAAGCTTGTTGCATGATCTATTTATTGTTTATTTATTTTTGAGACAGGGGGTCTCACTCTGTCATTCAGGTTGGAATGCAGTTGTGTAATCATGGCTCACTGCAGCCTCGACCTCTTGGGCTCAGCAATCCTCCCACCTCAGCCTCCTGAGTAGCTAGAACCACAGGTGCATGCCATCATGCCCACTTGACTTTTTAAATTTCTTGTAGAGATGAGGTCTCATTATGTTGCCCAGGTTGGTCTCAAACTTCTGGGGTCAAATGATCCTACCACCTCACCCTCTCAAAATGCTGGGATTACGGGTGTGAGCCATCACACCCAGCCAATAGCTTGCTGCATGATAAACATAAGCCCTTTGTATATAACATTTCTGGTCAGGAAAAGGGATGATGTTTTTGAATACTTTAATCAAAGCCTCTGGTTTACACCCATTTTTTCACAGGCACAGTGTCTACCACCCATGTGGTACTTCCTGAAGTTACAAAGCTGTTTTCTCCTGATTCAAGGTATGAAACCTTCTCCCACTAAGAAAAGGATAAAAGGAATAAAAGATTAGTGGAGATAGCACTGTACCCAAATACTGCACACCTTTGCATCTGCAATAGGGCCTGGCACAGAGCCTTAAAATAGAGAAACTATGGCACTGTGGAAAAGAAAACATGGTCTAGGAATGCAGAGGTATGGGTTCAAGGAGTATTCTGCTGCTCACTGGGCATATAACTTGGGATCTTACCTTTTGAATTTTATTTTGTTCACTGATAAGCAAGTCTCATAAGATAAGGAAATAAAAGTGTTTTGAAATCTACAAATTTCTTTGCCAATGTAATACAATATATCAGAAAATTAATGGCTGAAATATGGTCTCAGAAAAGTTTCAAGTAATCAAATAAAGTGGCTCTAAAACATGCTGATGTATGACAACAGCATGGTACAATATTTGAGTGAGGAAATCAATGAATAAGTAGAGAGATGAGTGCAAATATAATGATTTATCCACACAGGTCTCTTTTGTGAGTTTCCAAGAGAAAACTGATGGTAGAAATACAACAGTGATAACTCAGAAACAGAATTTACCCAACTCCCATGACTATACATTTGTTGGGTAGGCCAGCAGTCCCCCAACTTTTTTGGCACCAGGGACTGGTTTCGTGGAAGACAAATTTTTCCATGATCCGGGGTTGAGGGGATGGTTTTAGGATGATGATTCAAGCATATCCCATTTATTGTACACTTTATTTTTATTATTATAATATTACACTGTAATATATAATGAAATAGTTTTACAACTCATAATATAGTAGAATCTATATTATAATGTAGAATAGGTGGGAACCCTGAGCTTGTTTTCCTGCCATTAGACAGTCCCATCTGGAGGTGATGGGAGACAGTGACAGATCATCAGGCATTAGATTCTTATAAGGAGCACGCAACCTACATCCCCCACATATGCAGTTCACAACAGGGTTCGCACTCCAATGAGAATCTAAGGCCACCACTGATCTGACAGAGGCAGAGCTCAGGCGGTAATGTGAGTGATGGGGAGTGGCTATAAATACAGATGAAGATTGGCCCCCTCACCGGCTGCTCACCTCCTGCAGTGTGGCCTGGTTCCTAACAGGCCACGCACAGGTACTGGTCTGTAGCCTGAGGGTTGAGGACCGCCAGTGAAGACCAAAGATGACTAAGTAACTAAGAATATCTCAATGTGTTGAAAGAGTTCTGAACATGTGGATTCTTCCTTGATATTACTACTATCTTAATTACAGTAAGCATAGTATTTTCATTCTACTTTCATATATCTATTTGAACTATTATAGACTCAAACCTGGACCAGGAAGCTTATAATTGGACACTTGGCCAATGCTGTAAAACTGGAGTCTTAACTGTTCATCTCAAATATGACTATTTCAGGTCGGGTGTGGTGGCTCATGCCTGTAATCCCAGCACTTTGAGAGGCCGAGGTGGGCAGATCACCAGAGGTCAGGAGTTCGTGACCAGCCTGACCAACATGGAGAAACCCTGTCTCTACTAAAAATACAAAATTAGCTGGGTGTGGTGGCGCATGCCTGTAATCCCAGCTACTAGGGAGGCTGAGGTAGGAGAATCGCTTGAACACAGGAGGCGGAGCTTGCGGTGAGCCAAGATCACGTGCCATTGCACTCCAGCCTGGGCAACAAGAGCGAAACTCCATCTCAAAAAAAAAAAAAAAAAAAAAAAGAAAAGAAAAATAAAAATTACTATTTCAATAGGTTACCTCACTGCTAGGCTGAAGGTAGAAATTGTATCTATTCATGTTTTTATTCCCCAAGTGCCTTAGAAGTTCTAATTGTTCAATATGTTTGCTACATGAATGAATGAAAAGAGAAAAGGAAACTAAGAAGTGAGTCAAGCAGTATGCAACAAAAAGAAGACAGAGCAGACACAGAAAGATGTACTTTTGTTTTCACCTTTAAAGCCCTTCTTGCAAGTACACCTGTATCCATTCACCAGATTGTCACAAGTTCCTCCATTCTGGCATGGATTAGAAAGGCATTCATTTTTGTCCACTTCACAGTTGATGCCAACCCAGCCTGCATCACAGAGGCACTTATATCTGAAAGAAGACAAGACTTTTTAGTATAGGAGGTATATAAATGTACAATTGAGTCATAGAGTGAAATACAGGACTTGGTGAAGAAATGGGGTAAACTGATCTCATTTCTACTTTCATGGAACTATCCTTGCATCACCTTGCACATGGTGTGTACCATGTGGCCCTATCAGGTGTATCCAGTAAAGAAACCTTCTTGGTGCTTTCCTGGCTCACCAAGTTAGTGAAATTATAATGAAATTTCTTATGTAAACAATGGTTTGTACAATATATTGGGCCACTCTGAAGGAAACAATATCATGGATAAATCTGCACAATGTATTTTATTATACATAAAACTAAAGTAAAGCAAACACTAAGATCATTAGTTTTTGGTGCAAAATAGATACCTAGGTTACTATCAGGGACCCTGAGCCACTCTAAGATGCTCCTGGGATATTTCATATCTTAGTCATGCTTTGTTCTGACCTGAAACTTGGCTTCAGAAAGCACCTAGGGTATTCTGCAAGAAAAGGCACAAGAATGAAGGTATTTGAAATGTAAATATAATCTCCAATTTGAACATCACTAACACCTAGAATGTGATATCAGGAAATGATAGCTTTCTTATCTGGAGAATTTTAAGAAAATGAGAGATGGATAAGTGTGCCTTGAAGGCTGCTATACTCTGAAACAGTAATACTGAGTTCATTCATTTTAAAATAACTATTTACTATTTACCTCTAAACACTTTATTCTTTCATTTTTCAAAGTTTGCAAAGGAAAATGTCCAAAGCCATATCCTATGGCAAACACAGCAAGAGTATAAGAGCGTCTCATGAGACCTAATGTCACTCTATGGTTCTAGAAAATCACTAACACATCACACAAGTCTGCGGAGCTTAAAAATTGCAAATGTTTTATCAGGGACATTTCTAAAGTTGGCTGAAGTGGCCCTACTTCAGAGCACACACTGGCACTGTGACAGAACAGAGCTGAGCTATGTTTAAGCAGGGGAAAAAAAAACAAAGGCTAGAACATTCTTCAGAAATCATTCCAATAATACATACTAAAAACATAATTGCCAAAGATTCACACAATGAGTCTGGGTTCCTCCCATGAAGTCCTTGCTAATGACCCATATAAGGGAGACATTCCTCCTTATGTTCCATCTAGGTCCTCACTTACGGAAGGGAGGGGCTAGCTTCCATGGATTAAGTGGTAATTCAGAAGGCTTTGATGCAGACTACCAAATCTTCAGCAAAGTTTCAGCTCAAGGTCCCATTTGACGACTTCAGGCTGTCACCAGTACTACAATCTAATTGGCTTAACACAGGTCAATAAGAAGCTATTACCTGGGGCAGCTACTCACCCACTGAGACCTCCAGTACAGTTTCCATGGATGCAGGGATTACTCAGGCATTCGTTCACCTGTGAGTAGCAGCTGGGGTGATGGGGCCCCTCAGGGCATATACAGCGGAAACCATTCACACCGTTGATACATGTTGCACCCTTGCGACAGGGATTGGAGGCACACTCATCGATGTCAATGTTACATCTCTGCCCTGTGGAGAAGGGGGACAGTGTTATTTACATCCTAAATGCTCAGGAAATAGACCCAGAACTATAAGACACATTATGTTTTCACCTTTCATCTGCTCAGGCCATAAGGTGTTTTGGGGCACCAAATGACAAGATGTAAGGAATTAGATACCCAATAACACTTAATGCCATGCAAAGAAGGAGCAAAGAGCATTGACTTTTGATAATCAAGGAAAGTTAACAAAAGGTTGGAAAAGTGTTATAGCAATTTGGTATTTTCTTTCAACTCAGAAATGGGGAAACTTTACCAGGTTCTAAGAAGAGAACGTCAAATGTCAGCAAAGAAGGCTTCTCTTTTTACTGCTGTCCTGAGTACAACTCAAAGAAGCATTCATTAACATGCTTTGTGCTGGTTTACCACAAATTCATTTTCTCAGTTAGCCTCTTACATTTCTATTTATGGTAAATCCAAATTAACTGGAATGCTTAATGAATGGGATAGTAACTTAATTCAATAATTAAACTGATTGTAAAGAAAAGCTATTTTGTTTTCATTCTTAGAGTCGTATTAATCCATTTTTTTAACCTCAGGAAGTAGAGTCTCAAGGTATAATTTTGTTGTCCTCTGATATTGGAGAAAATAATGCAGATTCCGTCACTTTAGACCTATGGTTCTTAAACTTTAATGTGTAAAATCATCACTTTAAGTTGTTATTTTAAGTGGAGATTCCTAGGCCCTATCACCATAGCTTGCGATGAACAGAATCTAGCAAACCGTATTTTTAAAAATGTAGGTGGAGTAAAAACTAGATTTTGAGAAATTCTGTTCTAGACAATTATTACTTATCATCATATAATGCAGATACTGGGAGTAAGTGAAATTGAAGTGGATATGTTGTTCCTCTAAGACATAGCCAAGATTGCTCTTTAAAAAGACGTCTGTTATAACCTTGATATTTCTTAGGCTGAATAAAGTAACACGGGCAGTTATACAAGTGTTTCAATTTGCTACATTTTGAGTAACTGAGATTTAACTATATATTCCAAAATGATATGAAATGTTAAAATTACCTATAATTCTATAAATGAGTGGGATCAAGCAACTGCTATGAATTTATAAATTTCAAAGAATACAATGTTCTGATTCAGATTTTGAAAACATGCATTTTTCTCATTTAAGAAAGAGCAATCCTGTATTTAGAACAGGACATTCCAGATGAAATAGACACCCACTCCTATGAAGTATGAGTATTCACATTTTTTCACCCTCCATTGCTCTCTAAACCATTATTGGTGGTTCTTGTGGTAAAAAACCCATAATCTGGAAGTGGCTGCTGTTTTCCTCTTAAGTGTTTTATTAATAGCTTATTTTTAAATACTATTTCCTTGGCCTCAACCACTGGTTCTTTGAGATGTTTGTCAGTGGCACCAAAATATGAACCAGAGCTCTTCAACCACACAGTTAGCCTTGGCCTGTAATATAGTGGAGGATGACAGGAAAAAGCCTTTCTCATTTTTGGCCTTTTCTTGGAAGCATCTCCTCAGAAGCCACTCCTCCCAAGTTTTCTTTGTTTGCTTTTAAACTCTTTGCAGAATAAATTTTCAAGCCATCTTTACCCAAAAGTGTTAAATGCATTCTACTATGTTGATTGACAGCTGTTCCATCAGCAAGGTCCTACCCTCAAGGAGTTTCCACTGAGCATCAGAAAAGTCCAGTGGAAGGCCAAGCAATTTGTTGGGCTAACTGAAATGAGAAGTTACCCAGTGTTTCTTCTGACTCAGGTACTCAGTAAATTGGTGCTTAATAAATGAAAACATGGTATAGTCCACACTTCAGAGTCTGGATTAGCTAGCAAAAGTGCTGTATTTGAGTCCCATTCATTCGTTCATTCAGCAACATTCACTGAGTGTTTCCTGTGTGCTAGACATTGCTTTAGACACTTGCTATAAAGATGATTAAACGAGGTCTCCACCTTCTGGGAACTCACAGTCCTCACTATGCAACTCACTGGCAGGCCGTGAGTATATACATCAAGGTCTGTCTCTCAGTTGCCTTATTTGTTAAATGGGGATAGTAGAACTTCCTTTCTGGATTGTTATGAGAATTCAGGAAGATAATGGGTATGAAGGTGCTTTGTAAAACTGAAAAGCAGTTTATAGAAGTATCACATAATTCCTTACCTTCCCCCATTTAAAAAGGTTCTAAGAGAACAGATAACTTAGTATTAAAACAAAAAAAAACCAATATCCTTTAAAGCTGTCAAAGCTATTGTTAGAATGATATGGGAAAAATATATTAAAACAAGAGCAAGAATAAAACTCCTTACATTTACCACTCATGAGTATATACCACAGTCATCTCTGACGTTTTCAGCAGCTCATTAAAAAAACCATCTCAGACACAGACAACAGTTCCATGAACAGGGGACCACCTAGTAACCAAAACATTCCATTTCTTGCTTATAAGGTTTCATGCTACACCTTAGGTTTATTTTAGAATATATTTAGCCTATGTTCTCCCTTCTTGACCTTTCTGGTTTGCTGAATGTTAATAAGAGAAAGAATATGATTCATTGGCATTTTGAAAAAATGAGTCCAGTAGAAGCCTTACATAAACACACGCGCACACACACACACACACACACACACTACAACAGGCCCCTAATCAGGATGTCCAGTGTTGTGGGAATGAGCATGGGCTCTGGGGTCAGATTGCCTGGGATGTAATTCTGGCTGCTGTGCACTGGTAACATTACTTAACCTCTCTGTGTTCTCAGTTTCTTATAAATTCTGTAGGTATTCTCAACAGCAGTGACAATTGAGACTAGGCACATAGTGCCTAGTTCAAAATTAGTTCTTCATAAATGTTACCTATTCTCTTTGTATTACCCACTTACCAACAACGTGCCTATTATCCTATCTAGCAGGGATTTCTGTGTATTCACTTGACTGCCATTTGATCTTGGAGTCACAAGTTTCAGGATGCTGAACATCAGGCTACTACAGCAGCACTGGGCATTGGGCATGACAGTTTTCATCAGATTTGGCTTCTCAGTGATCTTTCACTGAACAGGGATCCCTGTGACCCATTTGGGCTGCAAACTTTCCTCTCTAATGTCCACAATCATACCAAATAGGAGAAATTCTTGTGAAATAGAGAAGAACAAAGTACACTCCTGGCAAATGAATGGTGGACATTCACTTCACTTTGCTCTGGCTTTTTGCGGACTGTATCAAAAACTTTGAAGGGTGTTTCACATTCGGGTACAAACAACCACATGGAAATTATTAAATGGTAACATGTTAGTGGCTGCTTCTGTGTGTCACTGTCCAGAAAGAACAGACTGTACAGTGTGTGCCTTCTGATGATGCCAATAAGAAACTCGGGTGTGTCAGTGAGGGGCCTCAGGTTTCTGTAGTAGCCTCTAGCACTTTTTGATCAGGAGGGTAAAAGACAAAGTTAATATTAACAAATAGAGAGAAGATGTGTGTGTGTGTGTGTGTGTGTGTGTGTGTGTACGTGTAAATGCTTAGGCTGTTTATACTTTAAGAGGAGTTACATTCAAAATTCTTCTAGCTATTTACTTTCTTCCTCCTGGGCAGAAATATCTCTCTCATGCCACCCAAATTAGGGAGGTCTCCCCAAGCTCTGACCTCATCTAACAATATTTCAGAGAAGGAAGTACCCAGAAATAAGCATTCAATATTTTCATAGAATTCTACCTTGAGTATGTCAAAGAGGAAGTACCCAGAAACAAGCATTCAGTGTTTTCATAAGATTTTACCTTGAATATGTCTTTATGGAAGGCCTTGACTACTACCTGTAGTCAATAAACATAGCTTTGGAAGCAATATAATTCAAGCAAAGCAAAGGCAATTTATGGTCTGTCTAGGAATTATTTTCTGGTAGCAATAAACATATAATCTAAAAACTCTAATTAATGAAAAGTATGTTTCAGTTTAGAAAAGGTCTGTGAACAGAAAACTGATCTAGAAAAGCAGAGAAACAGACTACTAACCTTCCAGAGAGACAAAGAAATAGGAAACACTTGAAAAGCAATATTCCTTTGGATGCTATATTCCCAAAGTGATAGGGCTGAAGGAGGGGCCTTGCAGTAAAAGGAGCTTTACCTGTGAATCCTGGTGAGCAGACACAACTGTAGCGATTAATGCCATCCATACAGATTCCATGGATACAAGGGTTACTTGCACAGTCATCAAAATTAATTTCACAATTAACCCCTGGAAGAGAAAACCAAAGGGAAACCACTCAATATTACCACAGAAATACTAAGGCTTTCTGCTTGTGATGCAGCAACGTGTAAGAAATCTAAGGTGAATTCCAGCCAACCCCGGACAGAATAAAGCAGCAGTTCTCAAAATGTAGTCCACTCTTTCAGGAAGATATAGAGGTCCAAAGGATTTTATTAATCATACTTAGCCATCATCTTTCCTTTTCACCATGCTAACATTCAAACTGATGGTGCAGAGGCAATGGGGTGAAATTGATCGCATCAGCATGAATCAAGGCAGTAGAACCAAACTGTACTATAATTATTCTACTGCTCACCTCCATGTGCCACAGTTAAACAAGCAAAAACACCAGTTTCACTCAAGAGTGGCTTTGTTGAGGAAGTTAAAATTAGAAACTTTATAATTTTAATAAATCTCGAACCTTGAGTAATGTCTACTACTCCATGTGATGAAATAGAGTATACATAAAGCATTTCTGTGGCATGCCAAGTATGAAAGTTGTCTCCAGGAAGAGCTATACTGCTATTGTTTGAGCTGTGCGTTGAAATAGCTGCTTTCTTCATGAAACCACATTTTAATTGAAAGAGCAGCTGACAAGACAAACCAGGGTGAATCACAATTGAGTATTTAGCAAATATTAAGTGAAAGCAGCAAGCCTGTCATTTTGAGGAAAAGCAAATTAACAGTATTTTTGCCAAAGATAAAACTTAAGCTTTTGAATCAAAATTAGAATTTTGGAATTTTTATCTATCACAGTGAGCTTGACACTGCCTGTCAGTATTACAGGCTAAATTTCAGGATAAATCTTGAGTCTAGTAACTTCCTCCTGAGGTAAGCTGCCTTATTTTTGCTCTGCTGCCCAGATGAATGGAAGAGTTTCGTTATATTAACAGTATACAATCATTATTGCTACCATTATTTGTAAAGAGATATTTGTGAAATATATTTGTAATATATTTTGTAATATATTTGTAATATATTTCACAAATGTCTTTTTACAAATAATGGTAAGGATATTTTTTACTTTTATATGAATTAAGTGATGCTTTCTGAGTATCATACAATAATATTTTGGTAGTTTAAAAGGACTAAAAATAAAAACTGGTAATGAGAATAAAACAAAACAAAACACCCAGGATAAAAATGCCATACTTGTGATTCACTCATACTTTGTTTTTCTTTTTTTTTTTTCAGAGACAGGGTCTTGATCTGTCACCCAGCCTGGAGCGCAATGACAAGAGCACAGCTCCCTGCAACCTCAATATCCCTGGCTCAAGCAATTCCCCCACCTCAGCTTCCCGATTACAGGTGTGTGTACCACTTTACCTGGCTATTTTTTTTTTTTTTTTAAGAGATGAGGTTTTGCTATGTTGCCCAGGCTGGTCTCAAACTCCCAGACTCAAGCAATCGTCCCACCTCGGCCTCCCAAAAGGTAAGGTATACACCTGTATGTATACCTCATACAGGTATGAGCCACTGTGCCCATACTCTGCAATAATGTTTATTAATAATAATTACAGAGGAATAGTTTATTGAGCTCTTACTATGTGCAAAGTACGCTGCTTTGCCTGTCAAGTAAGTTTTCTCTAACCCTGTCACCCAACCTGCATATTAGTCTGTGTTACACCCATTTTATAGACAACAGGGCTGACATGCACAGTGCCACCATTAGGGCAGGAAAGCTGGGCTCTGTACCCTGTTTGTGTGGCTCCACAGCATCCTCTTTCTGCCACACTGTACTGTCATCCCGTGATTAATGAGGCTATGCTGCCTAACTAGCCATAAATGAGGGAAAGATTTCCATATTCCCTGCAGAGAAGTGGATATCTTTAGGAGATGTTTCTAACCTTTGACTGACAAACCCCCTTTACCCTCAAACCAAGACGGCAGCACCCCCTCCCAATGAAGCCCTGATGATCCAATGTGACTCTAGCCCCCTGTCCATTGTGTACTTGAGTAGGAAAAGACGCCTGGATCAAGCCAGGCCAATGAGATTCTCTCATTACAACACTGAAACACAGACTGTGTGACCTCTGGTCTAAAAATGCCCAGTTTCCTGTTATTTTCTCCAAAGCCTTATTATTCAATTGCTTGGAATCTATAAGAGGCTCTGGGTGCTTTAGTTAAGCTCTGTTTCTTTGTTTTGTTGTCGTTTATTTTTTGTAAATGATGACTTAAGCTAGCTCAAGTTGGTCTGTTACTTGAAACACAAAGAAACTTACTTAAAACTTTACTATCATAAAAGCACAGATTAGAGAAGGCACTGAAAGTAACTCTGGGTAGTATATCTCACTTTAAGTACCCAGTGACTGACTACCACAATTTTAGCTGGCAAATTGTAAAATATTTCTTCCACCCACTCCCCTATCCGAACACCAAACTACCAACTTAGGCCATATAAGTGGAACAGGAATTCTTACTCTAGAACTTGAGACTATTCATAATGCCTCGTTTAATGGATTTTCCACCCAGGTCCCTGATACATGCCAGCTCTTTCTTCACCCATTACAGACCAACATTTTTTTTAATGTTGTCTGACTGTTGCTTGCTTTAATTCTCCAAATAACTGCAGGAATGTCTTTGGCAGGTTCTGACAGATTCTGGGCCTTCCTTTCCATGCTGCCTACAGATCACTCATACTGACTTCTCACCTTCTCAGTGACAGCTACTAAACCATACCCTCTCTGTCCTCCCCAGAAAACACCTGATATATCCTGATATAATGATACAATCCCAGAGAAAACAAAGTGCTTGCCAACCCTCCACTCACCCAGGTTTCCAGTATGTTTACTATGATGGGAATGATAGCAAAGTCTAAAACAGCCCCTCCATTCTAAAGGCATCCAGTCAATTGCTTGTAAATCTCTCAAATTTCTTTTCCTACTGTAATTTCTCATGTCTGAGGAACAGCCTGGAAGCAAATTGCTTTTGGAAGTTTTCACAAAGATCTATTCAGCCCTTTTAGTGAGTTATCTAAATGGGGGAGGGAAAGGCATTTTCAGCTGTGACGGCATGGGATGTTTTTCGTATGCTTGAGCAATTCAAAAAGGACTTTGTTTTCAAACTTGGCATGTATGAAGTCTTGGATAAAGACCAGAGCCTTTGACAAGTTTGAAGAAATGGATTTGGAAACAATAAAAGAAAATGAGGGCAGCTAACTACCTTCTCCACCTCTGCTCTCTACATAGGTCATTTTCCTTACATCCAGAATGAGTACTCAATAAATCACTCCTTTATATTGGCAGGTTTCCTTCTAACAAAGGCACACATTGGTTAATCTTCCACTAATACATTTTCCTTTGATCTGGAACATAAACTTCCCTGTCCATTAACTATAGTTATGACCATGATCATTCATCTAATAAGTAAAACAGAACCATTCAAACCTGTGAGATGCTGCTCCCTGAGAAAATAATACCCCATTCCCCCAACAAGGAGCAGCATGTCCTCACGACCAACAAGGAGTCATTTAACCAAGGTCAGAGAACAAGGATGAACTCTGAGGACAGGAAATGACAGCTCTGCGTTCTACTTTAGTTACTGTGGTGTGTTGCAAGGTATCTCCTCTTCCTTAGAATCCCCCAAGATGGCTAAGGCCCCACCAGAGACAAGTGACTGAAGAAACATGACACACTAAAAAGACTGAACTGTGAAAGAGAAAATACACTGAAGGAAGGGAGACAGGGCGGGAGGAAGGGAGGCAGGGCGGGAGGAAGGGAGGCAGGGCGGGAGGAAGGGAGGCAGGGCGGGAG